TACCCACTTGTTCCATTCAAATGACAGCCTCCTCGTCTATGAACAGGTTCCTCATGAGCACAATTAAGTGTTTGAGAATTCCCATTTTTCTCAATGTTATCGTTATCCATAATTTGTTATGATCCACACAGTCAAATGGTTTTGCATAGTCAACAAAACATAAGTAAACATCTTTCTGGTATTCTTTGTTTTCAGCCAAGATCCATCTGACATCAGCAATGATATCCCTCATTCCACATCCTCTTCTGAATCCCACTGGCATTTCTGGAAGCTCTCTATCAATATACTGCTGTAGCCGTTTTTGAATTATTTTCAGCAGTATTTTACTTGCATGTGATATTAATGATATTGTTTAATAATTTCCACATTCTGTGGGATGACCTTTCTTTGGAATGGATACAAATATAGATCTCTTCCAGTCAGCTGGCCAGGTAGCTGTCTCCCAAATCTCTTGGAATAGCCAAGTGAGTGCCTCCAGCGCAGCATCCATTTGCTGAAACATCTCAATGGGTATTCAGTCAATTCCTGAAGCCTTCTTTTTCACATAGTGCCTAAGGCATTTGACTGCTAACCAGAAGGCTGGTGGTTCAAACCACCACCCACTCCTTGGAAGGAAGATTGGGCAATCTACTATCATAGAGATACTGCCACCTCTGAAAACCCAAGAAGAGGTCGCTATGAGTCAGAATCAACTCAAACGGCAGTGAGTTTTTGTTTTTCACCAGTTCCTTCCGTGCAGCCTCAACTTCTTCAATACCATTGATTCTCAATCATATGCCACCTCCTGAAATGGATGAACATCTATCAATTCTTTTGGGTACAGTGACTTTGTGTAGTCCTTCCATCTTCTTTTGATGTTTCTTCATTATTCAATATTTTGCTCATAGAATCTATCAATATTGGAACTCAAAGCTTAAATGTTTTCTTCAGTTCTTTCAGCTTGAGAAATGCCAAGCATGTTCTTCCCTTTTGGTTTTCTAACTCAGGTCTTTGCACATTACATTATAATAACTGGCTTTGTCTTCCTGAGCTGCTCTTTGAAATCTTCTGTTTAGCTGTTTTAGCTTGTCATATCTTCCATTTGCTTTAGCTACTCTCCATTCAAGGGCAAGTTTCAGAGTCTCTTCTTTCTAATAAATAATTATAGTTTACTTGCCAGATTGTTTAGCAAACATTACATTCATGGCTTTCACAATATTTGCTTTGGAAAAAAAAAAGTTGTATTTCATAAAGAGATTAGGTGTTTACGAGATGATATTTGTGAAATAAATAGTAACTTCTTACAGGAAAAAAATAATATTAATCACAATTATGTCAATGTAACATAATGTTTAATTCCAGTATGTCAATCTATGTCATACATTATTCCAAGCACCCAAAAAACCTCCGTAAAAATGATTTGCAACATTAAATCTGACATATTATAGGTTTTTCATTGTGATAGTTAAGGTTGTATGTCATCTTGGATGGGCCATGATTCTCATTGGTTTAGCAGTTATAATGTAGTCATACTCCATGATGAAATCTGAATAATGTAATTCCTCCATGATAAGATTTGCTATGAGCAGCCAATCAGCTGAAAGGGAATTTCCTCAGGGATGTAGCCTGTTTCCATTATACATGAACACACTCCTAAAGCTGTCAGAGATATATGGACACTTGGCTTTCTGCTGGATCTGGATCCTGCATCTAGCTCATCATCAACTCCAGTTCCTGGACATTAACCAGGGGCCTGCTGTACTGCAGTATTGCACTGTTGCCTTCACAGCCTGTAAGCCCACTGTCTGCTGTATTGCCTGCCAAACTTGAATTTTTCAGCCCCTGAAGCTACATGAGTCAGAAGAAGCCACCAGCCTAATGTATGACCCATGGACTTGGGACTTATCAGCCTCTACAACAGCATGAGCCATTTCCTTGAGATAAATTTCTCTCTCTCTCTCTCAGCTTCACTGGTTTTGCTTCTCTAGAGAACCTAGCCTAATATAGTCATATATCTCTAGTATCAGCTTATGAATAAATTAAGTATTTCTGTCAACTAACATTTCCCTGTTCCCATGTTCTGGTGACAAAATGTATTATTATTTTTTTAAAATTTACTTTGAATATATGTCTTTAGAAGAAAATTTGCTATCATAATTTAATGTTTTTTCAAGCATAAATTAAAACTTAATATAAAGATAAATATGTGATAAAAATACATAATTATTAAGTAGTCAAAACTGCAGACATATTTACTGATATATATCTATGCCAGGATACAGAAGATGGAAACACATCTGAAGCATGTGGTCTAGAAGGGAGCAGGAAACATGCAGATAATAACAGTAACAAAAAGGTACTGTGTGTCACCTGTGCTAGGTACGTTCTGCACATTATCCTCCCAAGAACCTTATGAGGGACTTATTACTAATCCCTATGTTTTACGGATGAGGAAGATTCAGACACACAGAAATTATACAATTTGCCCAACAACACATAACTAGTAACAATCTACAAAACAGTATATTAATTTATTGCTGATTGTGTAGAAAAGAGTGCTCTGGTAGTGTACTGCCTAAGGCACTTGACTGCTAACCAGAAGGCTGGCGGTTCATATCCACCAGCCACTACTTGGAAGGAAGGTTGGGCTATCTACTTCCATAGTGATACCACTTCGGAAACCCAAGGAGGGGTTGCTATGAGTCGGATCTGACTCGATGGCACATAACAACAACAACAACTGGCTTGAGAATTATAATCTTAGACAGGTCTTCTTAAGTTTGGCCCTTGGTTAGAATATGGGAGCTTGGATTTTGGAATGTGTTCCCTGCTATTCCCTGATAAGAGTGGCTCACTGCCAAAACTGTTTATACAAACGACATAGTTTATGTTAAATACTTTCTTTCTTCCTGTGAGTCTGAAATTTTGGTCATGTGCTAAGCAGAGGGTACCTACATGACCAGCCTTCCAAAACATCTGAGCACTAAGCTTCTAATGAGCTTTCTTGGTAGACATTATTTTATACATGTTGTTGTAATTGGATGCTGAGGACTGAAGGACATTCTGTGACTATACTGGGAAAGGCTTCTTCACAACTTGTACCTGATTTCTTCCCAACTTTGCCCCTGAGGCCTTTTCCCTTTGATGATTATGCTTTGTGTCCTTTCACTGTAATAAATTATAGCCCTGAGTATGACTATGCTGAGTCTTGTGAGTCCTCCTAATGAATCATCAAAGCTGGAGTGGTCTTGGGGACCCTCATACTGATATGCATATATAGACACTTACTGTATTCAGACCCCGGACACAGAAATGTAGGCAAGTAGGGAGAAGTAGTATATTTATATAGAGTTTTACAGTTTAAAAGGTGTCATTACATATATTATTTTATTCTTCACAATAACTCTGTGAATTTTACTGCTTTCTAAGCCTACAAATCCTGACTTCTTTGCACATAAATAAGTGAAGTATACAGTCCTGTGTCACTTACGTCCATGATCAGTCCTGTGAAACAGGATGTTATGTGATTTGGATGGTGTGCAAACACCATATTGTAGTCTGGTCCTGCTTTTTCTTTAAGCATTTCAAGCCTCACGTCTCATCAGTGATCATCAACATGATGAGAGGAACGTTCCTCAATCCCTATCATTAGCAATTTCTCTGTATCTGACATAGGTCCCTTTCACAATTTTGTTAGCCTTGTAGGTTTTCGTGGAGCCAATCTTTTAATAGCCTGGAGAAGTTTTTCTTTGTTTTTGAGGTCCTGATTGTCTAAAATGCTAGCAATGGCTTTCACTAATGTTCCACCTTTGTTTTCTTTAATCATCTATTGTTTCATTTCCAAACTGATACTTTTCCTTTGCCTCTTGTGGCTGCTATCACTAACACTGGTTTTGCTACATTTGAAGCCATGATGCAGTTCACAGTAATATTTTCAAAAATTTAAACAGAGAAATAATGCTATAACACTCAAGGGATGTGCGATACCCAAGACTGGATGCTGTTGCCTAGAAGTCGAAACATATACTGTTACATGGTATACTTTTCAGATAGGAAGTACAGTATAGTATATACCTAAGCTAGTAACAAACATTTATTTTGACAATACACACATATTACAGATTACATATATTATATACATATATGTATATATACATATATATATATATGTATATATACATATATA